TTCTCAAATGTTCCAATATCAATATCTTCGCGCACAACAGGAAGCGTTAACGGCTCCTCGCATAACTTATCACATTCCAGGAACAAGATCTCCGCACGTACCTTTAGATCCAAAACTCGAACCTGGTATAGAGGACAGTCACAGTCCTCCTTTAGAACTGAGACGAGGCACAAGAACGCCTCAGGATCGTACTACCGACAGTCCGCAAATTGCTCATTTATACGGGGGAATGAGACCGTTACCACCCCCTCCATCACAATACACGGGAAGTAATCCATCGTTATCTGGCGCACCGGCTAGCGCTAGAGCGGGTTATGGGTACGAACCACCACCTGCTCATTTGCGTTCTCAATATCCTGTGGCTGGCAGCGAGGCTCCACCTGAAATAGGTAGAGCTCCTACACCGGATAGATGTAGGAAACATCAGGTCGTCACTCCGCCGCTTTACGCGTCTCAGGTGCCACCGCAAGCGGATTCATTTCAAATGCTACTCCAACGTCATCCGGTTATGTGGCAAGGTTTATTAGCTCTCAAGAACGATCAAGCAGCGGTACAGATGCACTTTGTCTTTGGCAATCCCAGAGTAGCCAGAGATAGTCTTCCATGTAACAGCGATGGCTCTACACCGCCGTTGAGAATAGCACAAAGAATGAGATTGGAACAAACTCAAGTCGAGGGCGTAGCAAGAAAAATGCAGGTATGTGTTACAATCTCTTTACTAGATTATAATACTAGAATTATATAATGTTATAAATCCTAAATTTATTCGTATTTAAAAATAATTTGTGTATTTTAACATTTTGTATAAATAAATTTTTTGTAAATAGTAAAAGATGATCTTTATTACAAATAAATTTTAAATAAGATAAACTAATTTTTAATGTCATTTAATATCTTTCAGACTGAAGATGAACATTGTATGTTATTGGCACTACCTTGCGGTCGTGATGAAGTAGATGTATTGCAACAAAGTAAAAATCTTCAAGCAGGATTCATTATGTATCTTCAACAAAAGCAAGCTGCTGGAATTGTAAATATTGCTGCACCTGGGTCGCAACAGGTATGAAAATTTGTGTGTGTGTGTGTGTGTGTATGTGTGTGTGTGTGTGTGTGTGTGTGTGTGTATGTGTGTGTGTGTGTGTGTATTTCACATGATGAAAATTTTATTATCTATAATTATTATTACAAAATTCAAGTCTTTTATCAAGTTTAAAAGTTTTATTATATCAGTTATTTTGTTTTCTACGTATTGTTTTGTCTTTTAATTATTTGTTTGGTTTTAATGACAGTGCGCGATCAAAATTTAATATTACAAATTAATTTATTATTTTAGGCGGCGTATGTAGTTCACATTTTCCCATCTTGTGATTTCGCACATGAAACTTTGGCAAGAATAGCACCGGACCTACATCACCGAGTTGCAAAAATTGCTCATTTATTAATTGTCATCGCCACGGTTTGAGGCCAATCAGCGATCTACTGGATAATGGATTATAATCTGACTATATCTCTCGCCTTCGCGCATCGCAGGACGCTTCGCACGTGGTATGAAGCCTGGAGTGTCCGTCTGACACATATTGTTGTGCGAGACAGAGAGATGCATTCAAGAGGAAGAACTCCTTGTTAGGAGTTGTATCAGTGACAATCAAACGGAACCCGGCGGTAAGCCGATCTTTAGATCGTAGGCCTAAAAAGCGAGGCACGAGGTTGTGCAGTGAAGCGAGGTTAGCACCTGGTTATCATTGTGCGTGCCTCTCTTCGATGAATTTCGCACGGGCAAGCTCGTTTCGTTCTCTTGTCCCTTTTTTCCTTCTCTTTTCCTTCGAACAGCTTGTGACTCGCGTTAATCATTGACAACGTTTGTGGGATCGACCGACATCACTCTTGGTCTTTCTGACAAGCGAGTCAGGCACAACCCCAGCCCTCAAGACAAGACCTTCGATTCGTCACGCGACGCCCGCTTACTTACGCTCGTCCTTCCCGTAGAGGGAACAATAATAATTCGTTGCTCTAGATGGACAAGTGGACTGCGAAGCATAATAACGAATAGGAGAACCTTAACATACACTCGTCACTATTACACATGAATTATTTTAAGCGAGGTCTAGGCATTAATGATAAACTGTGTAAATTATATAAGCGAGCCACCGAGGGCATAACTACTGTGATTTTAAGTATTTAACGATAATATAATTGCGTATAAAGGAGAAAAGAAGAAGGTGACAAAAAGTAAAAACATATAAGGGGATGCCCGACTAATGGTCCGCGCGGTATGTGATGTGTTTTTGTATAATACTGCTCTATATAAATAATTATGTATTATATTATTGTAATTGATAGTTTGCTGCTGCCCGTTGCTGCTGCCGCCGTCGGTCGTGTCGTTAGAATGTAAATTACAATTAGACATCTAGCACAGAGAAACGAGAAAAGTTGGGCTACCCCGAGTAGGATTTCCGATCTATTTGTAGATCTATCCATTTGCGTATGTATCATAATTATTCGAAGCAGGATGCGAATTTGTGAATTATTATTATTACTCTTAGCATACTCTCTTAGCGTCATACATCTTATAAAAAGATTTTTAACGTTACTACTTATTCTTTATCATTATGATTATTATGATTACTATTATCACCAGTGTTTCCAGTGTTGCCAGTGTCGGTAATTCTAATATACACACTCACACATATATAAATATATACATACACGTACATAAAGAAATGGAAAATTGGGAGGGAGGGGGGATACATAACGAATAAAATAAACGATGAATCGATCTTCTCATTTATGAGAATCTTATTTCACGTTTAATTTATTTCTATAAATGGCTCTGGTAATACTGATCATTACCCATTCTTATTACTGTTATTATTATTATAATTATTAATATTATTATTATTATTAAAAGTACTATATTATACCACTCTGCTATTACTATTATTACCACTATACTATTACCACTACTACTACTTACTACTACTACTACTACTATTCTATCACTACTATTACCGCTGCTATTAATTATTATTAACGTTATTACAGCAGACTAGCTAGGGCATACCAATCTGCACATTTAAGGACGAATGGGGCTTATTTGTCATACTGAGAGAAATAGTATGACCGATCTCATTGACCACTGACGCCCCATACACACTTCCATCCTATAAGAGGTAGATATACCCGAGCAGAACGAACAACGAATGAGCAACGAATGCGAGTAGAACATTAACGGTGTTCAATTCACGATCGTTGTTCGTTCGTTTCATTGTTCGTTTGCACGTGCAGTGTACACCTATCTTTACACCCCATCCCTCGATTCCGTCGTACGACGACTCATAGACTCTTTAGCATTCGTGTCCAAGATAATAAATGCGCTTATGTGTATAGACCAGAGATTACACTATATCACACCAAGCCGTCAAAAAACATTTTAAATAAATTAAGAAACTTATATCTATTTACGATATTATGCTGCTGCGCGTAGGGCGCATGCCTCTAGAGAGTAATCTTCATGCAAAAGTATCAGGGATGGACGAAATGCGCATCCGTTTGTTCTAATTCTAAGTTGCGAAGACACTTTATAAATTATCAGTATCTTTATTTGAAATATTTCATCTTTAGCAAAAAGTCTTTAATTTTTTTTTTTTTTAACATTTTATTAGAAAAACGAGTAAGTTCGTAGTAAAGTTATAAATACGATATCCTTTGATTCCAGATACTTAATCTATCGAATTATTTGATTACTCAAATTTGGATTAGATTTATTCGAGAGCAGTTTTGAAGTGATCAGCTTTTTTGGATACTAAGATCTAGATAATGCGAATCTGGATTTTAAGGATAACAGATTAATTATTTCAAATAATTCGAATGTTACATTATCTGGATATTTATAATTCTAATACATACAATTATAATATTGTTTATGAAAATTGCAGATATAATTGCAAGATTAGAGCAAGAAACACGATCGTTTATTTTATTTACTTATCTCATTGTTCTGCTATTAATTTTAGAAATGACTGACGATTCGATGAATCCATTAATTTTATTTATGCCGATGAATTGCATCATAATTATCATCATCATTATCGTTCCGTCCATCCCTGCGGTTTACAATTACTTTAAGGCAGCGCGGATACTCGCGGAGCGTGTGCATGTACAGTGTAAAAGATGCGTTGTGGATATGTACAGTGTAGAGGTATAATTGAGCGAGCAAGGTGATAAAAAAACAAGAAAACGCGTATATATTATAGCTATGAATAAGTACATAAGGCACGAACGTGCGCACGTGTCGCGTGACGTCTCGTTTATTTTCACGAAAGCGCTGTATTTTCCCCTTCATTCTTTCTTCAGCAGCCAGTCATATAGTATGTAGGTGCAGGATTACATGTTTTCCTGTGCTGTTGTTACGCAATGCGTGCGCAGGTCGGCGGGCCTCGTCTATCTTGTAAAATATCTGTGAATATTATGATTTAGTTTCTTCCTATTTGTAGGCTACAAGGTATACAAAAAAAAGTTTACGTTAATCATTTAAGGAGAATGTACAGATATCACTATATCCTTTTTTGTTTTGTGTTTTACTGTAGTTATTGATAATTATATGGATATTAACGATAATAATAACTATGATTAAAAAGAAAAAAAACTTAAGCACGGCTCGATTGCGTCATTCTTGAAAAACCCGCTAATATGCGCAATATATTTATTCTGTGTAAGAGAACTCTCGGTGATAATGTATCATTTGTATATTAGTAATTACGTGATCTCCTAATAATCGAAAAAAAAAAAGAATGAAACTTGAATAGTATTGATATACGTTGCGACACACTGTTCCATCTCCTAAATTCGTCACAATCTCCACGATTTATTTCCGCGCCGTCTACATGCGTTCTTCTGAAATGTTAATGCGTTAAAAAAAACGTATGTTAAGAACTTTCTTTTTATATTAGATCAGGAGCTGGACTTCTCGCTAGAAAGGTAATATAATAAAACACAAACTATTACCTCGAATATTGACGTATATTTCTTACGGTCTTACATTTGTCATACTTTTTGTTAATTTTGCTAATGAGTTGCGATAAGACAGCGATAGAAAGCTTCAGCTTATTCTATATAATCCTATCGAACGAGACACGGATTAATACAAATCAGCTGCGACAACAATAACAAAGTTACCTTACAAAAACTGAAATTCTTTAAAAAAACTGAAATTCTGTTATAGAAGAATGAATATTATATTACAGTTAAGTTTAACAAGATTAAACAATTAAGAATATTTCGTCTCTGTTAACTTGAAACTTGGGCACCTCGATCTGATCGAGAGCACTTTCGAAACATTCTAAGGATCGCTACTCCATTCAGACCAATCTTGAATTTTCGTGTAGAGGTAACTTCCAGGACTGGCTGTTGAAATTACCTGTCGTCCACCGAGCACGCGTACATTGTTTCGAAGAATACCTTGGGATTTTCCACATTTGATTAATTGATGTGCAATATCTACCATTGTCTGGTTAACTTCTTTTCCTGAAAAAAAAAAATATTGTCAGAATAGAGCAATTTACAGTAGCAAAAGAATATATATAATCTCGCTAATGAGACAGTAGGACTAATGATAAACTAGTGATAGACACGTTTCATACTATTTATTGCGATAACACTTACGCTCAAAATTCCCAATAAAAGCTATACCGACAGATTTTTTATTATATCCATACGTATGAGCTCCTTCACGTGTCCATCCGCATCCCTCGTATACATTTCCATCGCCGCCGATCAAGAAACTTAAAAAACGAAAGCAATAGTAATATCAAGTAAGTGAGTATCTTCTTTATATGTCTCTGTCATCCAAACAGACATATATGTAAGTATAAAATAAACAATATTTTATGAAGCAAGTACACAAAACATTTATTTATATTTTAATACAATATAATGAATTTATATAAAACTAAATATTTAAATATTTAAAATAAATAAATATTTAAAATAAATTATAACAAGCATTTAAAAAAAAATAAAGATTTTTTTTTATTAAGATTGTTTCACCGAAATTAGACTTAATCAATAAGTTATTGGCATCTAAGAATGAAAAATAAAGTGATAACTACTTGATTTATTTAGTATGATTCATATTCCAGTGACTCGAAAAATTTTTATATAATCGTTTTTATATAATTTTTATATAATGATGAAGATAATGTTAGCTTACGAATAACCAATGTCGTCCCAACCATTTGTATCCATATGAAAACTACGAATGTTGTCAACTCTACTTGTACAACTACTTCGCGTACTACATTCGGGAGTGACTGTGTGGTGTATTATCACATAAGGTATCGGTACTATTAAATAATTAACTTCTCCAGGAGGAACAGTGCTCCATTGACCTCTTTTGATAATATTTGGACACTTGGTCTTTGCTAAAATATTCAATTAAAAAGTAATTTTAATTAATTAACTATTTAATCATTTTAATTATAATATTAAAGACACGTGATTTTTTTTGCTAAAGAAGGGAAATCTTAAAAAAATAATTTAATTTCTTCAGATGTTAATAAAATTTTTTTTACTTTTCTGTTCACAAGAAAATAATTAATTTAGGAAAAGATTAACTTTTTTATGTAGTAATATCTTTTATGTCTTTTGTATATTTATATAAACTCGGTTTATTTTGGAAAAGTAATTATATAATAATTAATAATGAGAAAAAACAAAGAATCCTTTTCTTTTGCTGAAATGTTTTTCTTTCACGAAAGACAGAATAAGATATGCAGAGGAACGAGATACATTTTGCGCAAATATAATTTCAAAGAATTTCACAAAGTGACATTTCATAAACAACAATCGAAGAAGAATTTAGAAAGACTTACTGGCAAAACTGGCAGAGAGTGCCAGCAAAAGTACGAAGCAGATTCTCGACATCATCCTCACAGCAACGATGTGCAACTGTATGATGAAATCATCGAAAGATTGGAATGTAACGCTAAAGATTGGAATATAACACTATCTCGAGTTAGTGACCTATAGCGATAACGAGAATCAACTGAATAATGATAATTACTTGAGTTTTCAATTGCAATAAGGAGGAGCGACCGAAATGGAAAAATTAAAATATAAATTTGTTACTTATTATAATAAACGAATAAAATTATAATATTTATTAATAATCATTATTAAACAATCATTATTTAACAATCTTTATTAAATAAATCTCTTTCTCTACCTTAGAAATTAATTATAATTAATAATAATTAAGAGCGATTTTGTCTTGATTGAATTGAAATTTATTATATATTGAGGAACAAAATATTCATTCATTCGATATATCGATTGAAGATAACTTGTCATGCTTTCAAGAATTGATTTTTGCCAGGTTTGCAGTTCGCATGCATTCACAAGCGTTTATCATATTGTGATTCTGCCAGTGTTTTTGCATATTTCTTGAAAAAGAAAGAGAACAATAATGGAGACCATTCGACCATGCGGTTGCAAAGGGATACGTTCTTGTTTGATTTGTGAGACCGAATACGAAATTTCGAAACCGAATCTGAAAAACGAATTACAGGTAAAATACAGAGCACCCTAACCTATCGGATAAGTGTGACATCGGAATTTCTCGCAATTAGTCGTATTTCTTTTTTCAAAAATTGAAGACATAACTACGCAATCACGACAAAGTGAACATGAATTCCAGGAATAATTTTTTTTATATATATATATATATATATATCTTATATACACATATATCTTTCAGTTGATGACTCTTGATTATATGATATGTATTAATTGATATATTAGTAATTAGTTTGAGATAATTCAATTAGCGCTTATGGGCAAAATATAATATTTGTATCTATAGTTTTATTTCTATTTTGCGATCACTTGCTTTATCAAAAAAATCCTTATTATAATTTTCATTATAAAAATATTTTGTTGAAAGTTTTAATGTATTTTAATTTAAAATAAAACAATACATGTACTCTCAAAAAACAAAGTAATTTCTAAGTATTGAATCCATAAAATATTTTTTTGTTTACTATCTCATGTAAAAATGATCTTTTTTGAAAAGACATTTACCTGAGAATTTCACCAGTTGCTGTCTTTCTGGTATCTCCTGTGGTATTAGTCTTGAATCTGTGCTCTTAACTGATTAAAATATTAATAAAATCAGTTACTTATTTTGAAAAGATGAGACATACATTTTATTCCTTATTTTATTCTGCATTAGTTCATATCTTAGAGAACTTAAATTTTTATAATATAGATTGAAATGAAAAAAATTCTTTTATAGAAATTCAAAAATTACAAAATTATACAAATTTTCTAAAATATGTAATTATTTATATCTATCTTATTTTTTATTTTATAATAATATTTATTTATATATAATTTTACAGAAAAGCAAAAGTTACATTTATTGTCCATATTGTGATAAATTATTATCTGGATGGGATGTAGACGAATATAAGAAACATCCTTATCATGATGGGAAATTGATTAATTATCCTGGTGTTTATATCAAGGTATATACATTTATATAGTACTTATAATATATCTTATAATTAATTAATATTATATAGACGTATATAAAATGTCCCAGTTAGATTTCTTAAAGGAAGATGAGGCTGAAGAGCTTATGAAAGCACTTGATGATCTTCCTTGGCAATCTTCACAAAGCGGTAGAAGAAAACAGGTATATCTTCAAAACATTTAGACAAATAAACATATATCTTTATGTATTTTAAATTAAAACATTTAATTTATAGAATTTTGGACCAAAATGTAACTTCAAAAAGCGAAAATTACAATTAGGATCGTTTAATGGTTTTCCCAAAACAACACAATTTGTACAAAAGAAATTTGAGGAAATTTCATTGTTACATGGTTTTAAAACTGTCGAACAGTGTACGCTTGAATATAATCCCGAACGAGGTGCCTCTATAGATCCCCACGTGGATGATTGCTGGATTTGGGGAGAACGCATAATAACTGTGAACGTTCTCGGTGATTCTGTTTTGACTATGACTCCTTATCATGGTCCGATAACGCGATATAATTTAGACTACGTTTCAAGTTATGATTCTATCCTAGAAAAAGACATATACGATGATACACATTTTTTGGGTATTGATAATAATATAGTGGTGCGATTGCCGATGCCTGCTAGATCACTTATGGTTTTATATGGTTCAGCGAGGTATAATGTTCAGCTAAATACTACAAAAGTATATTGCATGGTATTAATAATTATTATATACATGATTTTGACAGATACAAATGGGAACATGCTGTGCTTCGACAAGATGTCACATCGAGACGTGTCTGCCTCGCATACCGTGAACTGACGCCTCCGTATCTCAAAAATGGACAACATCAAAAGGAAACTTCTGAAATTTTGAGGCAAGCTTCATTCTTCTGGTGATATTAATAAACAAATTTAAATTATTACATTTGTTTATAAAAAAAATTGATTATTTAACATAATAAATGTAAATTTTAATAAAGTCATTTTATTCTTAGCATACAGTGCATTAAGAATGTATAACAATAATACATCTCTTACAATAGTCTGTATTTTAAAATAATGCTTTTTGTCAATATTTGTGAATAGTCTTAAGATATTATATTTATTTATTATATAAAATTTGAATTTAAAAATATTTAATCAAAATATTTAATCATTAAAATGCAAATTATTTAAAGCAAACAATCAGACTCGTTCATAATGTGTATTATATATATATATATATTTACTAAGAAAATATATTAAACTATATATTATAAATCAGATAATTATTTGGTAGTAAGTACTATTTTTCTTTTGTGCTGTCCGACGGTCATTCGCTGAGCTCTATCATAAAAGAAAATGTAAAAACCAAGAATAAATATTCTCACAAGCTTTTATATTTTGTTAAAAAAATAGTATCTCTCTATTTCTCTCTTCATTACTCAATTTTTGCAAATTTCTTTGTGAATCCGGGAAAAAAAATACGGTTTTATACAGTTACTCGATTTTTACATCAAAATATTAACATTTCTGATCGCCTTTCAATGGATAGTCTGGCGACATGTACACTATGGGAAACGTAGTTATGGGATCCGATTTTCCCAATGGTTCATAACCGTTCACTAAATTCTCTCGTAATTCCCAACGACGCCTCTCCCTTTCTGTTTTTTGACGCCTGATAGCTCGGCCAAGCATACACGCGAACATAATTCCCGTTAGCTGGAAAGACAGAAACAATTATATAGATTTATCATTTATTTAGATAAATTACTTTTCAGAATTGTAGTTTATCCTGCAAGTATTTCTTGATAGAATCAGCGATTTCGCGTTAAAATCAATTTTGATTTGTACGAGAAATGGGATTAGAATTATGTTGAAAAAAAAAACTTAATCTAACCTGAATAAGGGCGATCGCTACAGCTCCTGTGCCGATGTATAGTGCACTACGGTGAACAATAATAGAAAGGCGGCTGATACAGCCCTCCTGATATTTCCCATAACAGCGATCTGAAAGCTCATCCACTAGATATGCACAGCAAGAGTCAGGTACATCTATATGCGTATTATTAAACGATACGTAATTCCAATCCAAGTAGCTATTATATCCGCAACAACGTAACTGTAAAATAAGAAAAAAATAAAATCAATCATTTTTTAAAATACCTCTTTCCTTGTAAATAATAGTCGTTATATCTCAAAAAAACGTTATGTTATTTCTAATTCAATGTTATGTAGGGTCATTAGTATAGTAGATCAATATCAATTATGATTACGATATCAAAATAGATTTTTTATATTTTTTATCCATAGAACGATCAATTAGCTTACTCTAGATTGCATAAAATCAATTGCGAACTTGGCTTCTTCGTTCTTTTCGTATTGATGCATTGTCATCTTGATATTCTCAGCCAAAAGATCCTTGATACCATCTTGCAAGGCATATGCAGCAACAGCGGCGGCGAGTTCCATTATCAAAACAACAGATAGCAAGAATGCAAACTAGAAGTACATAAATGCGCATATCGGAAAGAGGATATTTGAAACAGAAATATAGATAGAGAAATACGATATTCGGTTGTCGCTTACCACAAGGACCATACAGGTGCTTTCCCTGAGTGCGCCGCAACATCCCATAAAAGCAATTATGAAGACGAGTATTCCAACCACGATTAAGACGGTGGCTGGTGAAAAATAGCTTGTATCCAGAAAATGCGAAAAGTTCTCATAAACAGCGTAGATCGTCGTGCCGACCGATATTATCATAACTCCCGTCAACTGTAATAAAATGATAATTTTATTATATATTATGTTAACCGCAATTAATTATTGTTTTCATTATATTAATGTTTACAAGAAATTTTCACTTCTTTAATATATTAAGCAATTGTTAATAAACTACAGAATGCTGAAGACATGTATCTATCTAAGGATTATTCAACTGAAATTTAAAATCGATGAAATCTTTTCTAGCAAAAATATGATAGATATTTTTCACATTTTAATTAGACAAAACGCACCATCTAGAAAACTAAGTATGTTAATATTAAGAGTTATATTAAAATATCTTTAAATTTTATCTTTAACATTTTATCTTAAACATTAAGTTTGAATTAAAAGTATTTGTTATATTATAATTAAAAGTTATAATTAAAAGTTTATGTTACTATCTATGAAGATTTAATTCTCGTTATTACTTTTAATTTCTTAAAAAAAATTTTAATATATTCATAACATATTTATAAGAATCTTTTCCTCATTTCTATATTTTTATTGTAATGTTCCGTGATTTTTAGCAGCCTATATATGTATTATTATTTCTGCTTATAGCGTCAATTTAAATATGCAGCATCGCATATAATCTGTGAACATGTAATATACTGAACATAATATATGTTCATGTATATAAAGTATAAGGTTTCGATTTCCGTAATACGCGGTTTCTCTGACGTTAGTTATATAATACATGCGTCCTCGCTCAAATGTAAACTTTTTAGATTGAAAAGAGGATACAACACTTTTGTGAAGCATATCATTATATACATATACATTGCCATCGGTCTCTATTTGTTCTACAAAGCGGGCCGTGTAATTTCCTACGATAAGCCGCTCTTTTGTGATCCTTACATGTTTCTGTGTGAATCCACCTTAATTCTCAATGAAAAACCAGAATAAAATATGAAATCGTCCCAAATATATTTCCACAGGTTGTCGAGAAATATATAACGTATTAAGGTAAGAGCGGCTTTTACAACTTAATTTTTAAGTAAATACTTCAGATAAGATATCGATGATCTGTCAATAAATGATATATATCGTGTTTCACAATAATAAATATCGTGAAATTTATTTTTGCTCGGCTACAATACAATGAAATTAAAAATCAATCAAGATCTTCTTTATAATCAATCGTTACACCGGTTTGCGTGATTTTAAAATTTTTCGTTTCATACAACTCATGTGCTAGTATTTCTTTGTTAAAATCATATTATATATCCCGACATCATTGATTATGAAGATAAATTTATCTATATAAGATAAATTTATCTATAAAGATAAATTTATCTATATATTTATCTATTTATCTATATAAGAGCGACCACAAAAATCCCATAGGCAGATGTATTACAACACAGGATATTTGAAATATGTTTTCCTGATATTGTTTTATCTATTTGAGAACAACAGAGCGGTTTTTATATCATCAACTCGAGATTTCGGATGTCAAGGTCGAGGTAAGATCTTGCTGGAAAATTACTGTCTTTTCCAAGCATGTTTTTCTTCACAAGAGACTAGAAATTTGCATAAGTCTAATAAATTATAAGTGTTTCTATATGCCAGGCAATACATTTCTGACGAACATCAAACCGATTTATTTGCGATAATCTTCACTCGCTATCTATTATCTGTACACTTTGCAATAACGTCGTGAAAGAAACATTGTTCTTATTATTACTTCTTTGTTTAATTGAGAGAGATATATATGTACAGTGCTAATCGGGTTGTGCAGCTGTACAGGTTCGTCCATAATTCCTAATAATTCAGCAGTGCATAGCCTTGTCTATGTAATATCGACCACAGTTCAAAAGTGCTTCTCTCTAACAATGAAACTCGAGCTTCATAGCCCACATCGCTTTCTTCGTAAGCCGACAGAACAAAGGACATAATAAATATCGATAGGGGACACTCGTCCTTCGTTCACGTTATTTTATTTCAACACCGCATCGTGTTTTATAAATATTTTTTTTACTTTCACATGACATAAATAATCTGATACGTCATCTCCAGTCTGTTTATACTGAAAATCGATTTAATCGATACCGATGAAGCTCGGGCTATTATAATTTCGAATAATCTAAATGTTATTAAACTGCAATCTTATAATAATATTAATATTGATTTTTAAATTTTGCTGCGAACGCAAAGACGCTTGCCACGTATATGTTAAGAATGAATATCTGAGTCATTCTTTACCCCGACATTAATTGTTATTTATGTTAGAATGTCTGCTAGCAGACATCGATGACAAATATCTCGAAGAAAATTGATAACCGTGTGATAATTAATATCGATAAATGATTTGCGTTTTTCATAAATTTATAATTATATTATATATTAATGTATAATATATTTATATATATATAATGTATATAAATACATACTATAATGTATATGTATAATGTATATGTATAATGTATATTACATAGATAAAAAATTTTAAGGCTAAGATTTATCCTTTATGGATAAATTTCGATTTAATTTGTTAAGTGTGTGTATGACTCTTCGATGATTGTCAAAAGCAGATGTTAGCAATTGAAAGCATTTTTCATCGCAGAAATCAAAGTTGCTCCTGTTCTACGTTCAAATATCACGGTCGGTATATAAAAGCAATCGATAATTATGGATGAGTGTACGGCACAGTCTAGGCATAAGTCTATGATGCGCAATTGCACCTAATCGAGCTTGTGTTGCAATAATACATTTTCCGATGAGCCTTCCGATGATAACATGCAATTCATCGCAGAATTATTGGCGATGACTTTGTGCGTACTTGAAGAGTCATAATGCACGGACGTTATCTCGTACTCCAACAATATACATATCTTTCGACGGACTCACGCGACAACGCCTTGCCTCGTGACGAATCCTCGGTCTCGTTTCGCGTCTTTTGAGATTCTCAACGAGATTCCTCGAGTTACGAAAAGTTAACGGTATTTTTTTTTACTTTTTCCTTGTATTTTGATTGAATGCGTAGAATCAAGACGGAGAGCGTCGTCGACAATTGAGCATAAGGCCTTGTCGCGCGATTGTTCCTCGACACGAGAATGTATTGCGGAGCAAGATAAATTTAACGAAGAGATTATATTCCGCGAGACGATAAACGCCGTTCGCATTGTAGTACAGACCACGAATAGAGAGTTGACCGCGCACAGCAGGTATTTGATACAGCGGAGGCCGACGTCTAGGTGCGTGGCCGCCATTTTGCCTCGCGTTGGCTCCTCCGGGCGCAGATGCACAGCGAGCGGTATCGTGCACCTTCAACACTTCCAGTTAACACACCGATTGCCAATGCCAACGTTGAAGCGTCGGTCTGCAGCGTTATCTACTGGCCGATAACGAGCCGCGAAAACGCACGATCGCGCACGGCAACAGCTTGTGTGATACCAATGCTAGCGTTGGGGTTTTTGTTTAGAACACGGAGTCTGACGAAGAGAGGAGAGACAAACAGAGAGAGAGAGAGAGAGAGAGAGAGAGAGAGAGAGAGAGAGAGAGAGAGAGAGAG